GTACGAAATCATTCAGATATGATTTCCGTGACAAATTCTGAGTGTAACGCAATATTCACCTCAACCAGTTGAGACATTGTCTGATAACCATGAAATTTGACTCTCCAATTCTTGGGTTTTGCCTCTCTCTTTATAAGGTGTAGAATGTGGGTTTTCTTTCGAATGAACCTGGTTCTAAAGAATGCTAACTGGCTGACAATTGCGGAAGTTTTTGTGCATATCTCTACCATGAAGCCAATCAAAATGTGAATGGACTAGACATAAAGGGCAGTAGTTTAAAATTTGTAGTGAAATTAACTTAATTACCTCAATGGGATTGAACTAAAAAATGCAATCTTCTATTCAGACAAAATTCATAAGTTCTAAGTTCATTAAGAAAGATCAATGCCTGTCATATTAATGCAAAATTATTGATAACAACAAGAAGGATACTTTTAGAGGTGATATAGTCTAGAGTCCATGCATCTAACCCACTCTCTTGACATAGATTGGAGTTCAGTGAGCGTTAAACTCAAGTCCATTGGCCAAAAAAAAAGAAAAAAAAAAAAAGACTCAAGTCTATTCAAAAAACCAAACATTGGACTCCAAACCAGTGATGTCGAATTGATTATCCATGGACGCTAAAACCGCCAGAAACAAGTCATCAAGAGGTGAAACTACCACATACGACAATACCCAATTATTTAGCAAATCAAGGATAAGGATTAGGACTGTCAATGGGGCTGAGCCAGCCCGAGCTCGGCTCGTTCGGCCCGACAGAAAGCCCGATGAGCCCTATCATTTAGTGAGTCGGTCTGAGTTTGAGCCTAAAAATTAGGCCCGAATTAAATGTGAGCCGAGTTTGGGCCTTATTAGGCTCAAACCCGATATAGGCCCGACCCTTTAATTACCTATATATATAATATTTATATTTTGATATTATGTATAATTATATATCCAAATATATTTTTACTAAATACTAAATATATATATAAATTACAAAACACAAAAATACATCTAAAGACTCTTTCGTGAGCTTTCTTGAGAGCCAATATTAGTAATGCATAACTAAATCTCTAATTTTTCTTATTGGTTGAGTAAATTTTTGTATTGGCATATTATTGGTTGATTTTTTTTTGGTCTACAAACACAAAAATCATCAAGCATGTTCGGATTTAAATCACAAGATTATAAAAAAAAAGTTTCAACTTTTAAAGATGCATTGGCTTATGATCGCATGTTTTATTACTATTTTTCATGCATTTTAAACGGATTAAATATAAATATTGTTGAAAAATTTTTTGGTTTATATACTTTTTAAGAACTATTATTTGTTCATGTTTAGTTTTAATATTATAGTCTTGTATATGTTAAATTAGTTTTACAACTTAATAGTTATAGTAATTATATTAAGAAAATTAAGGAGTAATAAGTGAGCATGGGCTAAACCCGATTAAGGCTCACAACCCAAATATTATATGAGCTAAGTATGAGTTTCACATTTACGAACCCGAAACTCATAACCCGAATCCCAAAAATGTTTCAAATTAAATGAGTTGAACTTGAACTCATCAAAGCCCGGCTCATTAGGCCCGATTGACAGGCCTAATAAGGATCAGACAAGTATCAGGGTATTAATAGTCCTCTATATTATTTATTTGCAGCTGGTACGAAGTCAATTAATCAGAGATACCCACCAAATGACACAACTTAAGACTTGAAGGAAAAATATGATTGCTGAAGAATCGTTATCAGAATCAAATCATTGCACCTTAAATACAACGTTTTTGGATTCGGTTAGGTTTGCATCGAGGTGGAGAAGATCTCAATTACATACAAGCAATTAACAGCAGAAGAAACATAGCTTTAATATCTGATTCTAGTAATGGTTTCTGGCAAAGAATACGTTGTCCTTCACGAGTAATGTTTCTAGAAACAATCTTTATATATTTTGTGTTTAAAATAACTTGAAGAATACGGCAAAAGTAAGCTTTGGTTTGTGGACTGATGAGTAAACACTATGAAATGATGAGTAAACATCAACACTATATGTCTGGAAAGAGAGGAATTACATTATTTTTAGCAACAAGGTTACTAAAATTGGGGGTTATTATAACTTTATCCCTTTAAACTATAGTGCTAATATCAATTTACCTTTTTAACATTATTTTGCAGGCATTTGACCTCGCAGTTATTCTCCTTTTTCATTCTAAAAGGACCAAGAAAAATGTAAAAGGGTTCCCTTTTTTTTTTCATTCTCAACTATTAAGAAAAAAAAAAAAGAAATTGAATAGAGGTTGACAGAAAACTCAATTTCAGAAAAAAGGAAAATAAAGAAGAATCCAATATTATAATTAATTTAAAATAAGTTAGAGTGGGCAGTAGGGGTGAAGAGTAAGTAGTAATTTTAAAATAATAAGCACATTGGATTCTTTATTATTTTTATTTTCTTTTTTAAAATTGAGTTATCTCTCTATTTTCATATTTTAAGTATTGATAAGTACACAAGGAAAAAAAGAAGAAGACATTTTTTTTTTACTTTTTTCCCCTTGTTATTAAAGAGGGTGGAAAAAAGGGAGAAGACACTTTTTTATTTTTTTTTCTTGGTATTAAAGGGGGAAAAGGGGGGAAAAAACCATTCCAATTTTTTTTTATTTTTAATCATACAGGAGAGAGATGTATTTCTTCTAAAATATTAGGTAAATTATATATAATTTCCTGTGTTTTCATCTATTGCCACATGATCCCCAAAACATTTTAGGGTTTTATGTGGCTGATGTAAGGGAAAAAATTCATATTAATACCTTAAATTTCCCTTAAGGAGTTTTTATATTTAAATCCAATTATTCAATGAATATATTTTTGTTTTTCTTCTAGTCTTAAAGAGTCTTGCCTCAGGCCTAAATCATTTCCACTATATTCCTTTGGCCAAATTTACAATCGTATATTTGTGTTTGTAGTCGTTGATTGAACTTTGGTCTTAGGAAAAATGATAACAAATGGAAAGAGTGAGATACAAGTCAATTAAAAAACATCATTAACACTAGAATTTGTGAGACATGGAGACTTGGATTATAAAAAGGATAAGAAAACTTGAATAGGTGAAAAAAGGTGGATTAAAACTATATGAAAGAAGTAGCATAACAGTGATATAGTATTTGGTGATGGGAAGATTCTTGGAGATGTGTTTTTTAAGTTTGATAGGCATTTTATTACTTTTGGGAAGATTATTATAATCATTTTGAGTCCTTAAAAAAAGCATGGACGTATAATATTTGAATATAGAGGTGGGCAACATGAGATTATCAGAAATCTTAGAAGAAGTTTTTGAAATTATCCTTTGCTGTAATACTATTCTTTTTTTTTCCTACCTTGTGATTATTGATTTCCACATTCACACTCGAAATGCTAAGGCAAAAAGCAAAATTCAAGGATGAAAAATGAAAGAAAAAGAGACAAGGTTATAAACATGGGGAAAGACTCTAGATTTGATTAATGCTAACATATTATAAAATGATTATAGCATTTCTTTTTCATTTTTTATGAGTGACACTTTTTTAAAAAAAATTAGTAGGGGAATGATGGGATTTAAAAAGCGAAAAAAGAACAGGGAGATCAAAATTCAGGATCTCTAATTCCTGGGAGTAACATGATAATATTATTTCTAAAAACCCAATATCAATCCTATTGGTGTAATATAAAGGAATTTGGATGATTGAAGTGTTTAAAATATAAAATACTTCTTAATTATAATATCTTATTCATTAGTCGAATGTGGAATCTTATGTTTGTTGCCCCTTTCTTTTTTGTTTTGGATTTGGGTTTTTGGCGTTGAACTTTGAGTATGAATTGAGTAAGATTATAGCATGAGAAGGTTCATCATGTTCATTTAATTAAGGTCTTCCTGCATTTAAAATGGGAGCTTACATGACAAAAAAAAAGATTGAAATGGTAATAATTTACAAAAGAGCATCATAGTGGGAACATTTTTCCTAAAAAAGGTCATTTCAAAACTAAATTCCGAGAATCCATGGTTTCATGTGGGTTTTCTTTTCATGGACGTGATTAACATCATGTCTCTTATCATATCCATGAGGATTATTAACATCCAAGTCCTAGAGCCTGATTGCATTAGTACTATCCTTGGCCTTGGGTATAATATCACAAGTTCCTCCCTGTAAAGGTTGCAATGCGTTTTAAGAGAGTGAGAATTAAGTATATCACGGGAAAAAAAAAAATGAATGGCAAAGTAACTTACCAGAACAACAAACAGATGGAGGAGGATAATCCAACAAGCAAGTCCTTTGGAATCCATCAATTGGTAGGTTTTATATCCCTTGCAACTCCTCCTTTGAAGGATTAGAAAACAGCAGAAGCAAATGCCAAATATTACATATCGATGAAAAGTGTGCTTGATTAGAAGGTTCTTTTTCAAATAGTCGATTAAAATATGACCCCTTGAAAGATAGTGTTTCTTATTGAGGTTGAAAAATGAACCAAATTACTTGATACTCAAATCAAATTTTGCTAAATAAAAGTTTGTTTGAACTTAGTTTGCCAACTAATCAAATCAAAATTTAAGAAGTATTATTATGTGTTAGATTAACTATCAAATTTGGCATTAACTTGGCTTGATTAACATAAAATTAGAATTTACAAGTAAAAAATTCAAGTTACTCAAGTTCGATTCATGCTCAATTCTATAAAAAAAGCTCATTTGAGTTTGGCTTAATTAATAAACAAGTCAAGTTTGAAGACCTTCCTCTTAAAAAAATTTTAAAAAAATCAAGTTTGAGTACTGTTTCAAGTTTATTAAATAATCTAACAAGTTTGAATACTAGAACATTGAATCTAGGAGATCTAGACAAAATCACTAAATTTATTTTAGACCATAACTGTAGATTATTTAGAAAAAAAAGGACCAAAATGTAGACCTACCCACGTGATGCAAACCAACCAGCCACGTGATCCATGCTGTAACCTTGCTAGCTTCACTTACCTATCGCCTTGTATAAATAGCCGTATAGCCCCCAAGAGTCTTTTCACCACCAAAGTTACATTTTGAGTCTGTTCATAGGCAAGGCATGGCTTCATCTATCACTCTGATCGCAGTCTTTTCAATTGCCCTGGTAAGGTTTCTCAACCATCAATACTGTACTTGAAGTAGTAGTTCATATGAGATAATTGCTAGACTGTATAGGAATACTGATGAAACCCGTGAATTAAAGCTACCTGAGAAAACACATTCTTCTTCCTTTTTGCACATTTATCTGCAGCTCTAACCATCGCCACTGAAGGAATGGAAGCTCTTCAGATGGCTCTGTAGTTCTATTCTCATAAAAGCTTGACTTCCAAACATTACCAATGCTGGTACCATACTTAAACGTCAATGTAACTTGAGTAACGGCATATGACACTATTTACCCTTTTTTAGTTAGAGGATTCATCCGGGAAAGATTGAAAGTCAAATCAAGAACCTTAAAATCAACATAAGGAATATTCCTGTTGCCAGTTGAGCTCGTCTTTGGAAATTAACTATCCTTCCCTACAAGGGGTCATCTTTTACGGTGCTACCATCAACGTACCTATATTGACGTTAGTTTCTTTTATGTTAATATTTGCACAAATGTGCAGTTTGCATGCATCACGGAAGCAAGGAAGAATCCTACGGACTTTTTGCAATCTGCTGTCATTAATGAGCATACTGAGGACAATCACCATGCAGAGTCGTCCCTTTCCAATCAGAAGAAGACAAGTAATGGTAACACATTGAAGGATTTCGAGTCGAAGCCCGGCTCCTTTCTCTGGGGGTATCAAGGCAACGAGGCTGAGTCTAAGTCTAAGGAGGAGAAGCCTCTTATGAAAGGCTTTGAGTCGAAGCCCGGCTCCTTTCTCTGGGGGTATCAAGGCAACGACGTTGAGTCTAAGTCTAAGGAGGAGAAGCCTTTTATGAAAGGCTTTGAGTCAAAGCCCGGCTCTTTTCTCTGGGGGTATCAAGGCAACAATGCTGAGTCTAAGTCTAAGGAGGAGAACCCTCTTATGAAAGACTTTGAGTCGAAGCCCGGCTCCTTTCTCTGGGGGTATCAAGGCAACGACGCTGAGTCTAAGTCTGAGGAGGAGAAGCCTCTTATGAAAGACTTTGAGTTGAAACCCGGCTCCTTTCTCTGGGGGTATCAAGGCAACGACGCTGAGTCTAAGTCTAAGGAGGAGAAGCCTCTTATAAAAGACTTTGAATCGAAGCCCGGCTCCTTTCTCTGGGGGTATCAAGGCAACGACGCTGAGTCTAAGTCTGAGGAGAAGAAGCCTCTTATGAAAGACTTTGAGTTGAAACCCGGCTCCTTTCTCTGGGGGTATCAAGGCAACGACGCTGAGTCTAAGTCTAAGGAGGAGAAGCCTCTTATAAAAGACTTTGAATCGAAGCCCGGCTCCTTTCTCTGGGGGTATCAAGGCAACGACGCTGAGTCTAAGTCTGAGGAGAAGAAGCCTCTTATGAAAGACTTTGAGTTGAAACCCGGCTCCTTTCTCTGGGGGTATCAAGGCAACGACGCTGAGTCTAAGTCTAAGGAGGAGAAGCCTCTTATAAAAGACTTTGAATCGAAGCCCGGCTCCTTTCTCTGGGGGTATCAAGGCCCTCTTATGAAAGACTTTGAGTCAAAGCCCGGCTCCTTTCTCTGGGGGTATCAAGGCAACGATGTTGAGTCAAAGTCTAAGGAGAAGAAGCCTCTTATGAAAGACTTTGAGTCGAAGCCAGGCTCCTTTCTCTGGGGATATCAAGGCCCTCTTATGAAAGACTTTGAGTCAAAGCCCGGCTCCTTTCTCTGGGGGTATCAAGGCAACGACGCTGAGTTTAAGTCTAAGGAGGAGAAGCCTCTTATGAAAGACTTTGAGTCGAAGCCCGGCTCCTTTCTCTGGGGGTATCAAGGCAACCACGCTGAGTACAAGGAGGAGAAACCACTCGTGAAAGATAATTAATGTCCAGGGAAGCCGCAACTTTACCTCTGAATGGACCACGGACATATATGTCTTCTAGCTGGTCTGATTTTCTGCATTTTCTTTATTGGCATGAACATGTGTGATATGTAATAAATGCAGTTCTTCTTTCAACCAAGCGTTCTGTATAATTAATTAAATGAAAGTCAGTAGCGTTGAGTGCATTTTCTGTTTCTTTGTTTGTTGTTTCTTTTTGCCATTTACCATAGACAGGAAGCGCACAAAAAAGAGCACTATTCAAGCATGACAAGAATCATAGAGTGAGCGAACCAACTATACCTTGATAATCTAAAAAGAGTTCTGCAAACTCGTACTCTTGTACGAAACCAGGACCATATATATATATATATAGATATATCGATTCAATTTTCTAATGATGTGTGTGGTACGAACGCACATTAGAAGTACAGAAAATTCTAGTGTAAATTTTCACAAAAGAAGAGAAAGAATGGAGAACTCTTGAAGCGTGATTGATCGCTATTCTTAAGAATTTAATTATCCATACTACACTAAGTATTTGCTGTAGAGATAAAGGTAATTTAACTTTAAGATACAACAAGAGAAGAAGAAGTTGATAGCAATATCAAGTTTCTCAAACTAAGAAATGATCAAATAATTCTAGCTAGTTTTGACAATAAAAGGCTTGTTTTTTTACAAGTAACCTGTTTTCCACTCGTCTTTAAGTATCCTTCGATACGTGGCACTTAATCCCAATTATTTGACTTTAAACTTCGTTCTGTCATGTGGATTCTATGTGTTAGTATATACAAGACTAATCTTAAACATTACTTGAAAATCATATTATATGTAACTGAGTACCGCATAACTTGCAATTATCCACTTACGCTCTCAATATTATTGGGAAATTACATGGATTTTCGTTTCGGTAACTCTAATTATATAGTCTCACGATCCATCTTAACTGAAGGGGCCATTATGAATTAGATGAACATGAAGTTGTATTTCGATTCTCAAGCTATTCCGTTCCTCTTTCTTCATTGTAAGGATTAGAGTCTCTTTTGGAGGGAAAAAAAAACACTCTAATTATACAGGATTAAAGCAAATAGCAATGGTCTATAAAAGGATAAAAAGTAAGCAGGCTGGGGCATATTTATTAAAACATGAAAATAATATGAAATTTTATAATACACATGATACGAAAAATAAACTGTACGTAAATAATGCAAATATATTCGAAAGTACAAAGCTGAAAATACAGCTTCATTTACCATGTGCATAATAGCTGTGTGCACATTCCAGTGAAGATTTTTTTATTTTTAGTATAAGTGAGAAATTTCGAGTTCTAAATCTTTCACTTACACTCTCTTGTCCTATATCATCCAATCCATCCCTTCCCATATTTTTATGAAGATGAGTACATAATGTGAGTTTTTATTTTTTGAGGTGAATAACTTGTTCACAAAAAAGTTTTCTCGATTTAGGTAAAGTTTAAACTTTACGTTGTCTAAACAACGCAAGTAGATGCCACTAGGACAGAAGTCATTATGATGACTTCATCCAAGGTAACAAAAAAAAGGCGTACAATTGCACTTAAAATTTGTGAATTTATAGTACTATTTCATGGTTTATCGCCTCAAAGTTAACAATAAATAATGTTTTGAACCCCATTTAAACAACTTATGAGTGTAATTCAAATTTATTGCTCTATTATGTGTGTACAATGTATCAAAACAAAAGAGTAGCAAATTGTGTTTTATTGCACTTTTTGTTTAGCTAGCTTCATGCAAATTAACCTTCGTAGATTATAGGTAAAGAATTGGTTTGCCATTCAATGTATCCAAGAAATATGTGTTAGTACATAATGTTTATTTTAATGGATGTACTGGTGTAAAACAAAATTACAAATTATTAAGTTTTAAACTTTACAAGTACTTAAAGGACAATAATTTTTTATTAAATTAAAATTTTCCGTTCTGTGATTTGGTAGTTTATCTTATAACCCCTCTATAGTTTAAAAATCTGTAATCAACCTCCTCATAATCTGGGTTAACATATCATCATTAATTTTTCTAAAGTTTAAGCAAATTAATATATTGAAAAATTTATCCTTTCACTAATTCTTTGAGGTAGTTACAAAAGTATTACAATTATTATACACCTTAAACTATGTATTTGTTTTCAAGTAAACACAAAAGATGCAGCAAACCATTTTTAGCCAAGTTAATAAAATTGCAAATGTAACAATATAAAGCACCTTATGAAAAATTACTCTATATGATTAAGAAAATAATTTATATTTATTAGAATGGGAAAAAGTTGCCAGAAGAGGGAGAGACCATAAGAAAAATAGTTTAGAGTGAACTGCATCAATCATGCCTTCCATCAGGGAAAAAAAGGGGTTAAATACCAAAAACCCCCCTGGAGTTTGCCTAATGTTTACTTTACCTGCCTATGGTTTGGCAACCTACAATTTGACTTCCTGTAGTTTCAACTAAAGTAAAAGTCTGACAGAAAACATCTAAACTAACGTCTGAAAGGAAAATGTCAAAATTGCCCCTCTATAAGGGTTTTGGGTTAAGCACCAAAAATCCCCCTGTGGTTTGTCAAATGTACACTTTACCTCCCTATGATTTTAAAACATACAATTTAACTCCCTGTCGTATCACCTAAAGTGAAAATCTAACAAAAATTCCGTTAAATACACTTTAGTTGAAACGACAGGGAGTCAAATTGTAGGTTTCCAAATTATAGGGAGGTAAAGTATACATTAGGCAAACCACAGAGGGGTTTTTGGTATTTAACCCAAAAAAAATGATAGATGTGCGTGTATATAGGTGACGGGACTTTTATATCAATGCAAGTTTAAATCCGATTTTATACTCGTTGACTACAAATATACAGGCCGAAATCGTAATGTAAGGTGTGTATCGGGTCAATCCCACGAGGAGCAAATTAAATAAGTACTAGACCCTTATTTTTCTCTATTATTTAGACTTACAATAAATTTGAGTAAAAAATTTATAATGCTATTGTCTACAACTCTGGTTTAATCAATGTTAAATGCAAATGGAGAAATTTCACTAAAGATTGAATCTTGGGATGTAGATTCCACTTATAGCATAAACAACACAAATGAATAGATTTACCTTTTGTTATTTTTCTTGTTTAACCAGGGATTCATTTCCAATATTACCAAATCTCATTCTCATGATGAAATGACCTAGAGCAATATAGTTTTCCCTATTTTCATGGTGAAATACTAGTTCTACTCTGTTTTCCTTCATGAAATGCTAGAAAATGCACTTAAGAGTACATCTATTTTCATGAACATACAACTCAAGCTCTACTCATGTTTTTCCATTGTTACTATCAATTTTCATTGACTAATAACAACTATGAACATGCTATTGGTGATCAAACAACAACAAGTAATTACAACTGCACAAATAGACAAGTTAATACAAGATATAACAAGTATAAATCACATTCAATTCATATTATTTAGCCATAAGTTTTATCTACTCCCTAGATAAAGAAAATTAACTACTCATGAATGAGATAAAAATCAAACTCACAAGTTTATTAATGCAAAACATCACAAAGTACAATTACAAGAAAGATAAAAGAAAGCTTAGCCAATTAATGGTGAAGCCCTCAAATTTCTGCTATGTTCTTGTACAAGATGATTACAAGATGAGTCTCCAATTGCTTCCTCAAGAACTCTTCACTAAAGAGAAACTTGTTGCAAGAAGAAAAACTAGTTACGTATGGTCATCTCTAGCTTCTCCATTCTATCTCTGCATAAAAGGTGGTAGAAAGACATTTTTTTTTTCTCCTTCATGACTTCAACCACTTAGATTTTGTAAAGGAAGTCAAAAGATATGTTGTTTTGACTAGTCAATAACTCATTTGGTCTTCTCTTTTGTTGCAGAAGCATGTGCCACCGAATTTTCTTTCCCAAGATAGCTGGAACGTTGTGTGAAAAGTGAGAAAAAACAGCTGCGCCACTTGCTGAAGAGAAAGGCGGATCCGAGCCTCGGATCAGAAGGGTGAAGATCGATCCGAGGACTTTCTCTGATGGATCCGAGCTCAGATTGTATGACCTCGGATACACTGCTCCAGAAGTACAGACGAGAGCTCGGATCGCCCTTTACTCACACGGATCCGAGGTCGGATCCGTGCTGATGAATTTCCAGTTTTTTACTTCTTCTCTTTTCTCTTCATGTTTGTTCCTAATTTCTCTTGTACTTTATCCTCGGGACAATTCTTACAATTCCTTCATCTCGTGCATGAATTCTATATATCAATGTCCTTCATAATTTCACAAAAATTAACACATTAATCCACTTACTAATCAAATTTTAAACACTTAAACAATATTTAATCAATCATCACCAAAAGAGTTCAAATATGGCTTTAATCTTCTCAAAACATACAAAAGTTTATGCCAAACTTGTACAAAATATACGTTAAATATTCACTTATTAAATTCCCCCACACTTAAATCATTGCTTGTCCTCAAGCAATTTCACACATAACTTACCAAAATGATTCAAGAGATAAAACAATATACGTACTCTTGTCAAATTTAATTTCTCAAAAACCTAGAAATCAATCATTATGCCATTTCTCAGATTATACTAAATACTCAAAATATCAAGTTAAAGAAAGATAATTATGCATTAATTTTAACAACTTCAAATCAATCTCTCATTCTATCCTATTCCACAAATAAGTAAATCGCATAGTCAATTCTATGGCCTTCCTGATCCCATGACCATCAAAACTTAACAATTGAGAGGGATTTATTCACACTTCATTATTTTTAAATAGTGAAATCACCTTTTTATGCGAAAATCGACACTTTTAGGTGAAGATTCCCGGTTACTCAACATTTCACTTATTCAAATTGCTAAGCATACTCTTAATTCCAATACCTTTTTACGCGAATGTTAATATTTGTAAATGCCAACCCCCGATTACTTAGTATGTGAATCATTAGAGTAGAAAAATAATATCAATATATATATATTTTTAAATATTTTTCTTTTCCCTCTAAGCATAATTAAAAGAAGAATCTAGCCTTGTCTTGACTATATCAATCACTGATAGGGTGTTAATTGTTAGCAATTTTATTGTTAATTTTCCCTTTTATCCTTGCCAAATAATGTTTTAATTATTAATATTTACTTATATTTGGTTTGTGGAC